CCGTTTTTTTTATTGATCTGTGCACACAGAGGATTCCCTCAGCAATTGGATTATGTGTCTACCTCTGACCACAAAATGCACCCCAAGATTATCCAGCTGCTGACAGCAAATGGGCAACGATGGGAAACAGAAGCAAATTGACTGTAAACATCTTGTCTCACAAACAAATATTTTTAAAGCTGTTAAAAAATATATCAGTATAGATTTACACTGAAATATTTCAGGCTACTATGTTTTTAAGACATTATTTTCATGCAAATACACAATTGCTTAAATGCAATTTTAACACAATGGCACTGCAGATTATGCAACTGCTGTGCCACAATATCTGATTCTACAACTACATCCACAGTTCAAATTAACTTTTTTGAATAGAAGCTGCACAATTGTAGAGAGCATTATTAGGAACAATGGAGCGCAGTGAGGCACACTGTAAAATAGGTTCTCGCAGCTATGTGTTTCATTTGGTAGATCCCACTTTAGATCAAAGAGAGTGTAGTGTGTTGCATGATGATAGTATGAGATGGAGATGCTTTCATGTCTGCAGTTCAAGGCTCTTAGTCACATGACACAACAAAAGGCATAAAATAATGACAGCCAATAAGCTCTGAAATCTCTTTTTGTGCATAATATTGTGTACCGTACAGTAAATAGCATCATAAGGATGTTGTTTACATGAAACTTGATTTTGTGCCTTTATAGCCCCGCATATATCTACTTTGTCGGTCATATAAAGGTAAATCATTTTGCAAAGTTGCATTAGTGTTGATTTACTCCCTCCTACCTACTGTATATGAATGTGTGTATGCACAGACGGAAACTAGGGGGGCTGGGGAATGAAATTACATATTGGTGCCAGCAGGCAGGACAACAGCTCAAAGTACACTCATTTTCTCATCTTGCACATTGGGTATCCTGCTGCTCCTCAGGAAACAAATAATGGCTTAGTCATAACTCCTCGCCAACACACCAAAGAGCTTCTCACTAGAAATAGCAGAGATTTTTAACCACTGAAAAACATGCCCACCTCCCTATACATTTTATGTCCAATTGTACAAAAGGTCTGCCAAAGGAGTGGAGCTTAGCCCCCACCTCTCTACTCCTCCAGCCCCTTGTGGTTAGTCTCTCAGTGAAGGCGGACATGTGCCACTCTGCGATAAAGCATGGCAGCTCTGCTGCCGTATCTGAACTGCACACACTCTATCGTTTTACAACTTACTGTACACTCAGGGATTATGTACTTCACATGTTCCATTTGAGGACCCACATACCATTGGTGCATTTACATATAAAACAGATGCTTTTTTTTTTCTTGTTTATAAAAAACTGTTTTTCACTACCAAGCAAGTTTGAATTAGTGCTGTAAATTATGCTCATAAAAGGCTAACAAATCAAAAACAAGTCTGTATCTTACCTCATTAAAAAGCCATTTTCAACAGCAAATCTTCATTTGGATTCTACCATTTAGCTGATGATTAAAATATATGTTAATGTTTCTATTCATAACAGCTAGGATAAATTAGTTTTTGCTTAAATCCCCTTTCATTAGCTACTTAACACTGCCTCAGTTACAGCCATGTTTTCTGTAATTATAAAATCAGTGAAAATTCATTGGTTCTATCATTAACAAGCACATTTTTTGGAAATAACATGGTTTCAACATGCAGACTTTATTTTCCATATATGGTAAGTTGATTTGCTAGGAGGATTATCCCTGCCGTCGCCTCTCATGGGCTGTTTTCAGTATGCAACGGTCCTCTCTGTCCAAGATAGTCCAGGGAAGGAGGACTGGTGAACCGGACATATGGTACCGAGCTTCTAAGTCCTAAACGCCACATGAGGTCCAAAAGCTGAACATTTGATCTAGTCCAACAGACAAGCTAGCTCAACTGATGAAAAAGTTTCTTGAAGCCACCATAGCTGGAGAGTAGTCATTTACATGCTGAGCCTGTCTGCATCAACAATGTGCACAGAAGCATCAAAACTTGACTTTAGAGCAGGCATCCCCAAAGTCGGTCCTCGAGGGCTGCTGTCCTGCAGGTTTTAGAGGTTTCCCTGCTCCAGCACAGCTGATTTACTTTGATAGTTGATTAACAGGCTTTTGCTGAACTGCAATCATCAGAATCAGCTGTGCTAAAGCAGAGAAACCTCTAAAACCTGCAGGACAGCGGCCCTTGAGGACCGACTTTGGGGATGCCTGCTTTAGAGCATTGGAAGAAGGCAGTTTAACCTGGTCAAGCATGTATCTTTCTATGTGATTTGATTACCTGGAAAAATGCAAGAGCCCCTAGACTAAGATGGAAGGAAGAGAAGTGAGCAGATATTTTGCCAGGAAGGTCCTACCTTCCAAATTGATCTTACTTTCCAACGTTCTACTGACCTCAGTTGCGGATTCCCCTTGATGGGAATGGTAATTATTTTATCTGAGTGGTTTGAGGTGCTGACTTGGCTTACAAATCCCCTAGATCTTCATTAAATTGAGCATCTGTGGAAACAACCTCTACAAAGTCAGACCTATGAAGGCTCCACCTTTCTTGCAGGACCTGAAGGATCTACTACAAACAGTGTTGTTAAACACAGATAGATTGATCAACGAGGTCTATTTTTTGGGCTAGTTGTGAAGATGATATGAAATTAATAAATACATCCACAGAGGAACATGTTCCTTACAGGTGCAAAGAACCTGAAATCAAACATTTCTTTGGACTGGGCTGACCTCGCAGCTTACAGGTTCCTGACTATAGTAAATTGGGACCATTGAGCTCTTTTTATTTAATCTATAGTTCTAAATTATTTTCCTGTATCTGCTTTTGCAGATGTATAAATGTGTCCACATCAGCTATTGTGGTGCGTTGTACAATCTCATATCCATTCATGTAAATGCAGGCAGTCTGCCAGTGGCTCCCTGCTGTTAGCTCCTCTGTTACAAGCTGGAAATAGTAGATGTAAGCCTGGTCTGGATTTTTTTTTTATGCTATAGGGTGCTGGTTTTTTTTTTTTTTTTTTTTTGTCTTTTGCTTGGAAAAGGTAGTAATCAGCCAGCCCAGCTTCCCACCCACATTTGTTTAGCTTTTGCTGGTGTTAAACTTTCCATAGATGGAATTAAGACACGAGAGGAAAAAAAATCACTGGCCAATACTCACTTAGAATTGGCATATATAAAACAAACCTGTATATATTTAGTATGGATCTAAATATTTTCAAAAATGACCATAATCAGAATATATTCAGACACAGTAATGTTTTCCTTATTATCATTTCACTCCTTCATGGCTGCAAGAGCTTCTCCAGGATTACTGCATCAGTGAATCAATCTATATAGGCATATTGAGTGAAATTTCTAAGCACCTTGTGTTGTCAGGAGGACGGATTTTAGAAAGAGCTTTTACCTCGAAGTGTAATAGAAGATAAATATTCTCCAATGCTCATCTGTAATCTAAATTTAAATGAAATAGATTGGCAGATAATAACAACATACTAACTAAATTCATGCAATCTTTCCACAAACTAATCCTAAACTATTTCATCCTGATAATAAACAATTGATTTCATGCAATATATCCAGTCTATTTTGTCCCATTAAAGTCCCAGTAATGAACTCCTACAGTCACTTTCTGCTTTGCTTTGTCATTTTCTGTATGTTTTTAACAGGAGGTTTGGAGCCAAACAAATGGCCATCTTAGATTTATATTTAAACTGCCAAACTAAACACCTGAAGCAGGCTGAGAGTCCAAGAGAAAGAGTGAACAGAGAATGGCTCGATATAAATAGCAGTGGTCTCTCCAGGATGGCAGGTTTTTAATTAACAATGGAGTGTCTGATAATCCACCAGTAATCCAGAGGAGAAAAGGGAGGAGATGAGAAGGAGAACAAGAGAAAAATTATCAGCTGTTTGATGTTAGGACTACAGGTCCCTTCTGGCCCTTCCCCTGCTCTACTCTGAGCTGTACTGCTCTGTGATATCCATAGCCCAAAAGTATTTATTTTGTGAAAGAGCTATGCTCCATATTTTGTGATTCACTTTGTCTCTGACTAACCGCTGTCTGTTCCCATTAACGATGAATATGCACAAGCCCTGCTTAGGATTCTTGGAGCTTGTGTGTGGTATTAGCGGAGAGTGGTGTTTGCTGAAAAACACTGCTGACGAAAGCCTCTGTTGGCTGGAGACGTATGCTTTAAAAGCCTTAAGCCTGTTAAAACGCTTTAACCACAGGGGGAAACAATCAGAGATGTCAGACCTGCCCCACTCAGAGAGCTCTGATGTCTAAAAACACTCTCTTTAGAGCAGGGGTGTCCAAAGTTGATCCTCCAGGGTCACTATCTTCAAGGTTTTCAACATCTTACTGCTAATATCAGCTAATATCGGTGGATGGCTGATTAACAGGCTTTTGCTGAACAGCAGTCATCTTAATCAGGTGTGTTGAAGCAAAGAACATCAATAACTTGCAGGGTAGCAATCCTCAAAAACAGACTTTAGACATTTCTGCTTTAGAGGAAAAGAGGATGTGAGTTGGAATTTTTGTGATGAAGTCAACAAAATGTTGCAAATCTTTTATTACACATAGTTTAAAGGGATTATTTTCATAAATTGCAGAGTAAGGTCTACTAGAATTTATGAGTACTTAAGGAAAGAGTTTGGATATTTCTATCTTGGAAATTATTAATTTCAATTTCTATGTTTCATTGGGCTTAAGTACTCCTGCAAATACAAGAAATGTAGCTCCTCCTTCAGATTATCAGTAATGGCATAATTAACTTAGACTTAGACACCTTTTTGTTGTCTAAGTCTTTGTTTTGTACAGCTTTCATGACATTTCTATTTCTTAAAGTGCAGCAGTGATCAAATGTAAACAGTGTGGTAGAAAAAAACATGGTGCAAGAGCCAAAACCAAAGGTTTTAGTCAAGTAAAAAAATTTAACATTTGCACCTCTACTGTTTGTCTGATAAAATTTAAAAACAGTCGCTGTAAATTTTTTTTTGTTCCTTCTTTTAATTTTAGGGCAGAGCCTTGGCTACGGTTTCGTCAACTACATTGACCCAAAGGATGCAGAGAAAGCCATCAACACATTAAATGGACTCAGACTTCAGACGAAAACAATCAAGGTAATCAACGCCGTCTTTGTTTACATACACCACACGCAATAAATTGAATAAAGGAAGGAAATCAGCTTACCCAACATGCCTTAGACAGAGTTATGCAGGTCATGCTTCATTTTCACTGTCTGGAAGGACTTTCAGACAGTGACTCCAGTATAGAATCTGCTGTCGGAGCAGATTGAGGTAATGAGCTTTAGCAAAGAGAAATAAAAAGACCACCGGAATCAAAGTGACACCTTTTAAATAGCTTGTGACCATGGTTGATGTGCTAATTACCTTCCTAATGTCAAACTGCAAAGGTGGAATTATACAGATATCACTGAGGCAAATGGAAAAACCTATCAAACATCCGCTTTGCTCTTCCGCATGTTTTTCATGACAAATAGCGAGGTATTTTGGTTGTCCCTTCAGTAAGCTGGATGAATCTGTACCAGTAATATAATCGTTATAAAACACATATTACATGCATGTTAAACCTTGTTGCACTTCGTATGTAGATGCTGTCATAACAACATGACCCAAAACCTAATTTTACCATCTCATATCCCTATCTGAGTGGCGCTCACTGATGTGTTGCTGATGCGGCGCCTAATCTGTTGCTCTGCTGCAATCCCTGGATTCCCTCTCTCTGTCATCCTATTTAATCTGGTCTAGTCCACTCTAATGTAATCTAATAGGATAGGATTATCTTGTTTGCATACAGGAAAGCCCAGAGAGAGTCCCCTCATTCCCTCGACAGTATAAACTGCCTGACTTGGCCTTGGTTCAGTGAAGGATTCTTTTCTTAGTTTTACATCAGTGTTTGTCATTTAGGAGACTTGTAATGAGTTGGAGGGGTTAATAATGGATATCAGGTACCCTGTGAATGTGCTAGATTAAAATGACATGAAATATCATCATAGATGAGTTAATATTAAAGCCGCTTAAGTTTTTATACAGTTATTCTGCAAGGGACCCATTAGTTCTGCCTATAAATATTTACAAACAGATTGTATAACATTTTTTGTGGGCAAAGTTTTGCTTTTAAAGGGCATTTTCTTAAAATTACCACCTCATTATGGTTCCCTCCACAGTTTGGAAAATTATTGAAAAAATATGCAAACTGCTTGTTCATTTTATAGGTTTAAATAAGTATGGAAAAAGAAAGAAAACCTAGATTTTCAATGTTTGGCCCATTGCCTGCAATTTCAATCTGTCTGTCCATACATTCATCCATCCATCTATCATCTATCATCCTCCCTTTTTAACTGCGGGGTGTTTATGAAAGCCTGATTGCTGTAGAAACGTGTTTGAGTCTGGAACATTTTTGAAATTTTACATGTAAAATGTAAAAGTCTGATCATTGCACTCGTGTGTCCCTAGTTTCTTATTTTAGTTTACGTTATTTATAAATCCCTTTAAAACAAGAAGCATCTAATTGCCATCTAGTGGTCAGAACATACATATGTGAGTTGGGGTGTTACAAAGTGGAACAGTCAGCGTGGAGAAATAAGTGAAAACGTGTGTTTTCTGAGGATAAAAATGGAAGCTTAAGGTTGTTTGTAGCGTTACAGTCTGAGTTCACAGACCGCCTCAAGTTGTTCCTGAGATAAAGGAGGCTCTTTGTCATGACTGAAGACAGCACTACATTTCCATCTGACACTATCACTCTTTCACACTTAATTTCCTTCCTCCCACTACCCTCTTTCCTTGCTTTCTCTTCCGACAACAGACTCAAACCCCCTAAAGGCAACAAGGTTAATTAAAAGACAGAACAGTAACTCTGAGATTATGTCTGCCATTCCTCATGTCACACCCTTCCCACTCACTGCCACTGTTCTTGGTCCAGAGAGTCAGATTCTCCTGGGTGTGTGCCTTTGACTTGGTTTCACTTGTGCAGCTTCCTCAGTCGTGACACCTCCGATTTTAGTCAGCGGCACTGCTTTCCCGCCGAGGTGTAAGGGGAAGCTGCGTGTTGGAGGTGCAAGGAGCTCACAGTGACGTGTGCACACAATCCGAGACACGCTTTTCCAGAGCGCACGCATGCGATTGCTTTGTGATTACTTTAATCTTCACGCTTAGTTTTTCTAACTTTTTTCTGCACACAAGCAGCGCACATACACTCCTGTTTTGCTCACAGCTTGAGGAGGTGTTGATGGATTAGACATCTGGAGTTGGCTGACAAGGAGAGAAAATGAGGGAGACTTGTACAGTGAAGAGAAGAGGAAAGACCCCCCCCCAAAAAAAAAGAAGAGAAGAGAGAGAGTTGAGGATAAAAAGAGGGATGTTCTGGAAAGGTTTCGTGAGGCAGCATGGAGGAAGGAAGCTGATTGAAAATAACCAGGCAGGGAAAAGGGAAAGAGCTACAGGGGGTGAAAGAAGACAGAGGAACTCAGCAGATAGGCTGAAGAGGGAAATATGTGAAAGAGAAATATTACTTGGAGGAAGCCAGCTTTTTCCAATCCAAGATCTCCATGCTGTTGCTCAAATATGACTAAATGTTCAAATTATTTACCTAGATGTTCACCTTATTTGATGACTTATGTCTCTGCTTGTCAGCGGTAATGGAAGCACTGAAAAGTTAAGCTGCTTCTGTCAGCAGCAGTAGTAGTAATAGGATTCATGCTACATCACCTCGTGAAAGGAGAGGATGTTGTGGAAGTTCACTGGTACAGTAGCAACCAAGTGACCAGAAAAGATGGGTGGAAGAAGTTGAATAAAGCATTGCTGTAATTACTGTTTTTTTCTAATGAACCAGTATATATAATAAATAATGCTAAGAAAACAATGCTTTTCATTTGTATTTAGACATGTTGCCCCTGAGACTGATGATGTCCTGTCTTGCTGTTATCCTAAGTTCTCTTTCCAAACTAGTGACACCTGTGTTTTTGTCTTTAGAGTTAATTTTTCTTTACCTTTCCTTTTAAACAACTAAAACATGAAGTGATCTCTCTCTGAGGTTTAAAGTATATATTTTCCTGAGTATGGAAATCCATGAGTCTGAGAGGTACACAGTCTAATTTTCCTTCCTGTTGATCGAATGGTCTAAACCCCAATTTTAAACAAAAAAACACATTATCAAACGAAATATGTATAGAACTCTGGTTATAATATATCAAACACTACTTAAAAGCTTGGTCTGTGTTGTACAAGTTTAAAATCTCTGTTTCTTGTCTTCTCCAGGTGTCGTATGCGCGACCCAGCTCTGCCTCCATCCGTGATGCCAACCTGTATGTTAGCGGCCTGCCCAAGACCATGACCCAAAAGGAGCTGGAGCAGCTTTTCTCCCAGTACGGACGCATCATCACGTCCCGTATCCTCGTCGACCAGGTCACAGGTATCCATGGGGCAGCGTCTCCTCTGTTCTGACTCTATGAAGCCATCACTTTACATGTAATCACTCAGTATGACCAGGGATACACTTATTTATCTACATTAATACATCTGCATATTTTTAGCAGAACAAGACTTTCATCTATTTTATGGAATGCTTTCATATCACACTTGGCAAATTCTTATAAAAGTGTGATAGAATCATATAAAAGACTTACATTCCTATTTTTTTTTTAAAGCAGAAGATCTTGCAGCACAATCACATTGCATTTTTATTGACCAGTCTACACAAATATTGTAGTTAACTCCAGGAATGTGTTTTACTCATGAATTACTTCCTGAAGAAGAATCCCACTATCTGTTAAGGGAATTATTAATTTTACTTCCCAGTATTGTTTAAGTACTTTGGTTAGAATCTTTTTGCAAATCCCTGAAATTTGTAGCAGTATTTCTTACCATTTCTCATACTCCTCTTTGTCTGCTGATGCAGAGCCTGCTTCTGTGATGATTGATGATAATAAAAGCAGCAATTCTGGGTTTTGAATCAGAATTACCTCCTAATATCTGTTTGATTTGTATCAGAAGGCAAATCTAAAATATGAACCTTGGCAACTTAACAATTGAGCTATTGTTCAAAGTACCAAAGAATTATACGTAATTTGTTTTACCCTTTAAAATGACCAAGATTATCTTTGTTTGCTATGTCTGTTTTAAGTTTTTTTGAATAATTAAAATAGTTGGGTAAAGACAAATATCACAGCATTTTTTAATAATAATAATTATTATTAATAATAATAATTCACATTCATTAACATTTTATACTGATGGAAGTTTTATATTTGAGGATATTAAATAAATAAAAAAAATCAAAATAACAACTTATTATGTATGGAAGAAAACCATATCGAAAAATTTCTTACCAAAAAATCTTATCTTTTTTTAGATTTTTTTTTTTTTTTCAAACTTAACACAAATTTTTCAGTTGCTTTGTTGATATATTTGGAACAATATACATTACATTCCATAAATAACATCATAACTACAATCTGCTTATCAATCACTTTTACATAGAAGCCTATTTCATGCACATACTTAATTCCCTACACAGTATATTAATATGCCCTTTTACATTTATAGAAACACCAAAGACTACTTACCTTATGCACATTTTCTTAATAAACTCTGGTGTTTAATAAGGTCAGAGAGTTACATTAGATACATAAGCCATCTGCTGAGGGTCTGGGGGGATTCTGGTATCAAAGAGACTCATTCAGATGTGAGGCTTAACAATACTTAGTTCATTATCAGTCTCTAAATAGGAATACGTTGAACAGTTTTAAAAGTTACCTCCACTAATGCTGTTTCTGGTAAATTATTTTTTCTGTTAGCCTTTAAATGGCTTAGAGCTTATTTTTTTAAAAAGGAGAAGGTCTTATGTAAAAGTTTTGGTAATGCCCTTGAATATCTTTTATCACAAGTTTGTCCTAATAGTTTTCTATAACTCACATGCCATATCATCTTTTTGTACTTAGCAAATTAATTCACTTCTTCATTTCAATTATAAAGAAATTCTGCAATTTCTCACCAACAGAAGAAATTCTTCATCTCAGCAGAACGAATAATAAATTTGCACTTTTATTTCCACCTCTATTGATAACGAGTGACTATTTTTTAAAATAATTTTGACTCTGATGGAAAGAATGACTCTTCATTGATGCCAAGCCAAAAAACATGAAAACGTTGCATCCAAAACTCACAAATGAGTCACATCAGTTCATTGCCCTGCATAGCAACCCCACATGCATGTCTCTTATATCAATTTCAGATGTTGCATGTCTGCCTTCAGGCTCCAACATGATCCAGCATTATGTTAAGTAGAAAAAGGAGCAACATGCTGTAAGCCACTCTCATTTGCTTAAGCGGTATAAATCACTGCTGGCAGTGAAGTGTACGCCCGTCCTCTGCACACTGAGCAGAAGGGGAGAAAAGGAGAAGGAAGGGAGGAACTATTTGAGAGAGGGCGTCAACGAGTAGAACTGTGAGAAGAAAAGGAAATGAGAGGATGGAAACAAAAAGCAAAGGATGATAAATGCAAAAGTATAAAGAAGATGGAAAAATTTTTAAATGCATGCAGAAAACGTAAAGTACTCTTCTATCCCTCTACTTTCATGCAACTTTACTACCACGTCACTACACAAACTACAGTGGATGTTTCAGTTACATTTACATCTCTGTTTTTTTTAGATTTGAGGCCTGGGCCACTTTCTATGAATACAGCAGCTTAGCTCAAGCACTCCTGGTTACATAAAGTCAAGGTTTTTCAAGCATTCACTTCATTTATGGCTCACGAGAGGCTCAATAGTTCATTGTGCTCATTCTTGACTGTGTAAAAGTGAAGAGGCTTCACATGTCCATATAAAATACTGAAATATTTAATTTCCACAGTCAGTATAGAATTAACACTCAGGCCAAAAAGGGAAAAAAAAGCATATAAAGAAAGAAAAAAAAGTTTCAATAGCAGGTTCTTTTACCTGCTGACATTTTAAAACATCAGTGTTTTAAAAGAAACCAGACCCATTAACACTTAATCAATGCTTTTACTTGTTGTTCACCTGCAGCTAACATCAGAATCATCCCTGAGCATTCAGCCCTATCTACTGCAATACCTTGATTTTCAGATCTGTAGTTTAACATGTGTTCTTTTTTTTTTTTTTTTATGACAAAGTACAAAATAAATATGTTTGAACAATCTTTTTTTTCCAAAGCATTCTAACATGTCCTGGTGTTATAACTATTGTCATAATTTGCCAAACAGAAGAAAAACCTTTCATTTGTAGAGACTTTATTCATGAAAGCTTTCAGGATTTCTGCAGAAGCTTAAAAATCATTAAAGATCCACAATTGGATTATCTAATTGTTGTTTTGCAAATAGCACAAACTGTCACTGCTCTTAAAATTGATTCAGTTTAGGGAACTAAAATCAAAACTGTCAGCTTACTTGTTATGAAAGAGGAAACATTTGATGTTGTGATGACGATCTTTCATAATGATCTCAAAAAGGCCTTAAAGTCTAATTTTCACCCAAGTGAAGCTCCTCTAGAGCCGCTGCTTCTGTGTGTTTGAAGCCCTGGTTTTCTTGTTTACAGTTTATCATCTCCATGATGTTAAAAAATTAAGTTCAATGTAACCCCATTATACCATTTTTTCTTCTTTTTTCCTTTCCTTTTTTAATTTTTATGTCTAAACTAAGGTTTTATTTTTAGAGATGAGGTACATAAAACACAGGACTGCTTGTTGGTTGATTTGGATTCTGTAGTATAATAAAATAAGCTTTATGTGCCAGATTCTAGAAAGTTTAACTGCGGGAATATGTCGGAAAATATCGTAACATTGATAGTTATTCTCCCTTCTTTCTAATGCGTGATTTCAGCAGATCTGACGTCTTTGTTACATGTCAGCATCTATTGTGGTCAGACTCTATCAAATATTCTAGTTATTACACTGGGCTGGAAATGTTACATTTGATTTCAAATATATATCAGCCAACAGTTATTGTACTTCAAGCAGCTCTTAACAGTCATTGATTTTTTTTATACTCCGATATTGAGATGCTTATATTTTGGCTCCATTATTCAGCAATAAACTAGATTGTTGCTCCACCTTTTGAGTGCGTTTATAATTTTCCGCACTGCAGATCCAGTTGGGCCCAAGAAATTGAGTCGTATTGAAGGAGCCGATTAAATGCAAAATCGATACCTCAGAATGAATGATATCCTTTCCTCTCTTTGTTCAGGCTGCTTCATGCTATTAAGTCCTGTCCATTACTGGCAACGCAATCCCGACATTTGCATTAACATTTACAATTGGTCAGAATTGCTGGAGATGTTTTTTCAGCATACTGATAGCCTTACCAACTGTCCTAACAGCCACCCAGTATACCACTCTCACAACTGAAACTCACATTCACTGCATATTCACACATGCAAACAAAGATAATACGAGAGAGGGATGTTCTGCAAGGTGCCCCCAGAGGGCCGCGGATCAGCAGGAGAAATGTTAATGATTAATTAGATGTTAGAGTTGCTGGTGATTAAAAACACGGAGGATCTTTGAGCGGCCCTGAGAGTAGTATGCTGGCATCATTGACTCATCTTTTTCTTCTCTCTGATACTGTGGAGACAGAAGAAACACACCCACCCACACACTCACTGCCATTAAGAGAGAAATGGGCTGCAAATTAATACTCTCCTGTGACTGCCAAACATATAAGCACTAAATAAGAAAGAGGGAAAAAGTAAAACAGAGGAAGAGGGAGTCATTGGTATGTTTTGTCCCTTTTGTCAGATTGTTTTTGAGTTTGGTTAATTGTGCACAGTGACCTGATATTAGCTTTTCCACTCAGTTCTTTTTAAGTCACTTCAGAGGAAAAAAAGCAATTAAAACTTTATTCTCTCTAGCATATTCTAAAATATTTAATTATTGTATAAATCCATTATGTTTGGTATCATTGCTTCCTTTAAGATGATGTCCATAGTGGTGGGAAACTTCAGAGAGGATTGATGCACAGACAGAAATAATACTGAATGCAATGCTACAGAGCATTGTTGAAGTATGGGGGTGCTCTCCAGTGACCATTAGCAGATGGGCTGATGATCCGCAGCTCCTGCTCTGCTAAATTGGGAACACAGAGTCTGTTCTCCAAATGACCTCCTCATCAACAGGATGCACCCTGCAGTCATTCTTCTGTTCGTAAACACCAGAAGCATCTTAAAGAGCATCACTCTTTGCATCTTTCACAGTCAGAGGCAAACTGAAAACAAAATCCACTATAACTGCCAAATTGCCCTTGAGACTAAGGGCGCAAGTGCAACATGGACTTGACAAGAGAATCTCTTCATCTTTTCTTTACCCTCCTATTTCTCTCCCTCTGAGTATTGATTGCCTCTGAATGGATAAGTATATTTTTTTCTCTCTCTTTATTGGTGCAAATAGTGCCAGATTCTC